GTGAGCATTTTTTCTTACTTAGGCCACTTTCCTGGAAAGATTTTCACCGTGGGGCTAGATGGGGAGAGGGAGAGGTGCTTCTGGACTTTGGACCACTTGGAGGTGGGGTGTGGGTGGGGGTGGTGGGCAGATGTGTGTAGTCGAGGTGGGGGGAATGCCGACTCCTACCCACCCCCTCCCTGCCCAGTCCCCACCTCCTCGGACGCCGACCCTGCAGCCCTGTCCGCAAAATTGCATGCTAGGGCACATTTTATTGTTATTAAATTTTGGAAGGGGGGTTGGTTTGGGCAGGGAGTTCTTTCTCTTCTCACTGCGCTCTAAGTTGTTGGTACCTTCGCCCCACCCAAGACCTTGGGGGCGAGCAAAAACTCCATGTGTCCCCCAAGGAAAAGGACCCGAGGGAGGCGGCGCGCCCGGAGGCGTCACCGCCCAGCCACTCGCTTGAGTGAAGCCGCCAGAGCCTGGCCTGGGGGCGGGGTGGGGTGGGTGCAGCTGGGCTCGCCGGCGAAGCCCAGCCCTGAGCCAGGCCCCGACCCGCCCTGGCCGCCTCCTGGCCCAGACCAGAGGAACCCTGAGATGGGAGAGGGGTCCAGCGCGCCCAGTCATGGGGCAGGTCATCAAACAGACGAAGTTGGCCGCGGCCTGGGGAGGGACGGGGCGCGGGGTGGGGGAGATGTCCACGCGGCTGCGGCCTGGCCTTGTCCCCAGGCCACGGACAGGCCCCCACAACTCCTCTTGTCCTCGCCGGCTGGAGATCAAACGGCTGACAAGGCAGCTATGTCCTTCCCAGTCTGACGGGCGATTTCAAGTCCTGCCCTGGGCGGAGGCACACTGGAGGTGGCGGTGTGTGGGGGGGGGCACGTTACTTCCAGGTTTCAGTAATTGTCATGGGGGCGAGAGGGGACTGGGGGACCTGAGGGAGTCCCCCGCACGAGTATCTTCAGAGATCTGACCACGCCCACTTCTGGGTCAGCCCGTGCAAGTCCCTCTCCCACGCGGAGCACTCCTGCCCCCTTACCCCCACGCCTCCAACAGACCCAGGCCTCAGGGGACGGGATCCGTGTTTGATCCCAAGGAGTTAATGGGGGGAGCGCACAGACTTGGATGAATATTTCTTCCGGAATGGGACTCACACAAGGTCTCATGTTCCCCTTCCCCCGATTGTGCTCTTAATTCTTTCCTTCTCTCAGTATCTTTTATTTTGTCCACTTGGCTCTCCCAGAGTTTGTAATATCAAGATTTCTGTGGAGGCACTTTTTGGAAGTTTAACCCCGACCCCCCCAATAAAACAAAAGTAAAACCAAACAAGCTACTCCTCCAGCGAGGCGAAACAAACCGGCCATCGCCCCCAGAACCCCGTGTCGACCCCGACCCTTTTACACAGCCCCTCCCCCTTTCAATCCAGAAGAGCTTTTGGATGGGTGGGTGGGGACTTGGGTTGATTCAACTTACTTCCACGCACTCAGCTCTCTTCCTCCCTTCTCAGGGGGTCCTGCTCCCAGGAGGGGAGGAGGGATGAAGAGGATTTTCTTTTATTTAAAAATCTCCTCCTCCCCCTCCCCTTTTGCGCTGCCAGTGCACAGGGAGAAGAGGAGCGCACAAAAACGCTGTTTGCACGTGTGGCCGGCCTGGACTGCGGGTGTGCGCACGGGCGAGTGTGTGTGTGTGTGTGTGTGTGTGTGTG